GGTCCTGAATTGTTTCAAGAGAGCTGGGCTGAAGCTCAATCCCGGAAAGTGTTCTTTTAGAGCCAGCAACATCAATATCCTTGGACACCAAGTGAATAAGGATGGAATCCGACCGGATGATGATAAGATTAAGGCGGTCAGTCAATTCCCGATCCCTAAGAACTTACAGCAGCTAAGAATCTTCCTTGGCTTGTCATCTTATTATAGGCGGTTTATTAAGAACTACGCAAATATTGCGCGGCCCCTCAATTCGCTACTATCAAAAGGAATAAAGTTTCAATGGAACACAGACCAAGAGAGAGCATTTCAAAAACTGAAGAATGCCTTGACGTCAAAAGATGCCAGCGGATATGGAAAAGGTGCCGTGCTTGCACAAAAGCAAGGGAACGGTGAAAAGGTCATCGCCTATGCTTCGCGTACCCTTTTAAAATCCGAGAAAAACTATTCTACCATGGAGAGGGAATGTCTCGCCATAATATGGGCAATTGGAAAATTTAGGCCCTATTTGTTTGGACGCCCCTTCAAAGTTATAACTGACCATCATTCTCTGTGCTGATTGACCAATCTTAAAGATCCGGCAGGTAGATTGGCGAGGTGGGCGTTGAGACTTCAGGAGTATGACGTTTCCATTGTCTACAAGACAGGGCGAATGCACAAGTACGCCGACTGTCTGTCAAGAAATCCCATTGAAAATACGGAAAAGGTTTTCAATGACGACATCCCCACATTATTCCTTTTGAGCGACATCAGTAAAGAACAAGAGAAAGACCCTTACATTACAGTATTAAATCAAGGAGATATCTCAGCCGTCACCCGCCAAGAAAGACAACAAGTTCGAGGTTGTCAATGGGATCCTCTATAGAAAGAATTATGACCCGACTGGCCTACCTTTACTGTTAGTGATCCCAAGACACCTTCGAATGGAGATCTTGGGGGACTTGCACGACGCACCTACTGCTGGACATTTGGGTTTTGCAAAACCTACGACATAATTAGGAGAAGGTTCTTTTGGCCAGGAATGTACAGAAGCGTGAGAAAGTGGATAGTTGTTTGCACCGACTATCTAACTAAATACGCCGTTACCCAAAGTCTAGGTTCGGGGGCGAGCCCAAGAAATTGCAAAATTTCTTTTGGAGGAAGTTATTTTGAAGCATGGGGCTCCTCGAGAAATAGTGATGGATCGGGGTCGAAACTTCCAGTCGAGACTCATTCAGGAGCTAACCAAAAACTGTCACATCAAAAAGAAGACAACGACGGCGTATCATCCCCAGACTAACGGCCTGACAGAAAGATTGAACAGGACAATTGCCGACATGTTATCAATGTACATGGACCTCGATCAGAAAAACTGGGATGAGATGCTACCATTCATCACATTTGCCTACAATACAACGAGGCAAGATTCAACTGGCTTCTCGCCATTCTTTCTGGTCCATGGGAGGGAAGCGGAGATGACCCTCGACACTATCTTTCCCTACAGTAGCGCGTCCGAGGGGGAAGAATTTATTCAATTGGTGGCGAGCAGAGCTGAAGAGGCGCGACAAATAGCCCGACATCACATCTTCAAGGCTCAAGAAACCAACAAATTGAATAACGACGCTCGGCATAAAGGAAAAGTCTACCAACCAGGAGATCTAGTGTGGATTTTTACACCTATCCGACGAGTGGGACTGTCTGAGAAACTTCTAAAAAGGTACTTTGGTCCCTACAAGGTCATTAAAAAGATATCGGATGTGACATACGAAGTGGAAGCATTCGGCAAGAGTGACAAAAGACAAAAAGGACGTGACACCGTCCATATCCTTAGGATGAAGCCGTACTTTGGCCCATCAAGACAGGAAGATTCGTCAAGTGTGGATAGCTCTACGTCTGGAGAAGAGGAGGAACTGAGATAAAGCTGTGGAACAGCTTCTCATGGGAAAGGGAGTAGTGTACCAAAGCCGACTTCATAGTGAAATTGCTGGTTCGGCAACCCTGGAGCCGACGTCACTGCCTGTGGATGTAACCCTTGCAAGGCCGCGTACCCACGAGACTTATTCCTTTTTCTTCGCTCGTTGTTTACTATTTAATATTTAGATATTTCCTTCTTTCTCTTTAAATAGAATAATAAAAACTATCTTTTTGTTTGTGTTGAGTTGGTCAACCGACTGGCTAATTATTTTCAACGCTACAATATAAATCAAATTTTTAATCCAACATGATTTTCAAAAAAAAAAAAAACTTTTATCAAATTTACTTTTATTTTTCATGATATTATTTTAGTATTGCAAAACATTTAATTGTTTCAAAATCATATTTAATTCATTATTATATATTTTATATATTACATGTTTGATTTTGTCCACTTACACTTTTTTACCCGCAATCATATTTCTATCTTTTTATTCATTTTGTATTTGTTTAAATACCTTCATAATAGGACATTGTATATCATCAACTATCGGGCATGCAATAACCGCTTACAACAATTATATTCTTTAACCAATTTCCTATATTTTTCATCACTATCTATTTCAGTTATTGCTTCAAACCATCGTAGAAAAACGGCAGTACTGCTTGACAATTATTTTTTTATTTCCTATTTCAACAAACTCTTTGAACACAGTTCCCCAGATTTGAAAATCTCAACTTCTGGCCTGAACACGCTTCAAGAGTTCATTTCAATCATCCGCAGAGCACATCACCAACGCATGCACAAAGCGTTCAATTTTTTCAACTTTAATTTTTTTTTCAGCTCTAGCGGACCACAATCAACCTTTGATTTCATGTCAAGTTAGACCACCTACTGTCGCTACAATTCTACTTATCGCATGGCTCTACCACCCCTTTCAATCATATTAATAAGCAACTTTTCTTCAACAACTTTTAACCCAATAATCCTAAAATTGTTACAAAGCACTCTAACCCTTATACAGGATCGCAAGTGAAACATTGCCTAGGAAGACGCTCAAGTCTATAACATCGCTTTGCACCTGGATCTGATTATTTGGTTACATGTGTACTCCTAACAATTGCATATTCTTTAACCCCTAACCCTTTCCAACGCCCGCCAATATTATCTTAGAATGTGAATTTTTATGTCATCATTTTATTTTTATCATCATTTTTTAAAAATCAAACAAAAAGTCATTTTTATTTCACTTTTATATATTCAAACAAATCATCTTGGTATAGCCCTTTTTAACGCTCCCAGTTTAAATTAATTAAAAGAAATTCTAATTACCTGTGTTAGAGAGGCTTTACCCGCTTAAACCCTGATAAACCCTTTCATTCCTGGGGCCCATCTATGGTGATTTAAGCCAACAACCTCATATTGTATCTAACTTATAACAAGATTTTCATGTTGTATAATTGAAACACATCTGTGAATAATATATACGCATTATTTTCATGTGACATTACATCATCATAAGTAATGTACTTTGTACAAACTGAGGAAAAATAAATAAAACTATGTAATAGATTAAGAGTTGAGCTAAAGAGAATAGAATTCAAAAACGTCTAAATACGAAATAGATTGAAGTCACAAAACAACAAGGTCTAAAGATAGATTGGAAACTGTCAGGACGGCGCCAGTGTACAGTTTCACCAGACGATCCACGCCCCTGTCGCATAAGGCCTCCATCTTAACCTATAAATACAGTCACTTGACAGGCACTTGGCAGTAATTTCACCATCTGCGTGAGACCTCGCCGGTTTTACCCCAGGTTCACCTCATCGACCATGTAGCCCAGTAAGAACTCTTCTATCTCTCCATCTTTCGCTTCTAGCTCAACTTTTATCTGGTCACGGAAATTTCTTGGTGCAACTGTGTCTTCGTTTATTTTGTGTATGGACATTCCTAAGCTTTTCACTCTGCCTCGACCACGACTGCCTGTACTCTGTGAGAACTGTAAAAGGTATTACAAGGTGCAGAGAGGTACTGGAAAACTCCTTATCCTGACTGTTCCTCTCGGTTAACACGGGATTCTACAAGAGGTACACGCCTTCACCACATTTATAGTCGACAGGATTGTACAAGAGGCTACCAGACCTCATCACATATATATTTATACTAGCCGAATGACCTGGGCAACGCCCGTGGTGTTTTACCCGATTGAATGTTTTTATTCAAATACTATTTGTTACAATTATAAATTGGCGCCTTGAATAAATGCATATATTAATTAATAACTATAGCCTATGTGCTTTATCTACCTATGTACTGTTGGCTTCCGTAAGACGCTCGTAACTGTATATAGAATAGCCTACCGCCCGCCATGCGCTCGCACAGGGAGGTCACGTGCTCGCCGGCAGCCAACGGGCGCGCGCCGCCGGTAGGGGGGGGGGTGGCATTACGTCACTCAGGGTCACCGTCGCGCCAACGATGGCACGTGATCGTAGCCGTCCAATGGGGGCGCTGGCCATCCGTGACAGAGGCGGCCGATGACTGATTAGGAAAGAGGCTCGTGACTATATATAGTAATAATAATAAAAAGGCATATATATTGAATTGATATTAATTTCAAAGAGAAATATGTACTATTTCTAACTTTTTAGATGACGTATGAAAAGGTTGAATATAGGAAGAGAAATGGTCTATATATGATTGGATGACGTATCAAAGGGTGAAAATGTGAAGAGTAATGGCGAACGGAAAAATAAAACTTTCCAGGGGCGAGATTCGAACCCACAACCTTCTACTTACCGGGCAGGTGCCATGTCCACTAGGCTACCCTGGACGTATTTTTCCGTTCAGAACTAATACTTAAAGTAACTTTTTTAATACAATATAAAGGACTGCGGTGTATGATTATAAAGTAATTCTTAAAGCCTCCCCGCATAAGTTTCTTTTTTTGTGAAAATCAATATTAATTTCAAAGAGAAATATGTACTATTTCTAACTTTTTGGATGACGTATGAAAAGGTTGAATATATGAAGAGTAATGGTCTATATATGATTGGATGACGTATGAAAGGGTGAAAATGTGAAGAGTAATGGCGAACGGAAAAATAAAAGTGTCCAGGGATGGGAATCGAACCCACAACCTTCTGCTTACCGGGCAGGTGCCATGTCCACTAGGCTACCCTGGACGTATTTTTCCGTTCGTAACTAATACTTAAAGTAACTTTTTTAATACAATATAAAGGACTGAGGTGTATGATTATAAAGTAATACTTAAAGCCTCCCCGCATAAGTTTCTTTTTTTGTGATAATCAATATTAATTTCAAAGAGAAATATGTACTATTTCTAACTTTTTGGATGACGTATGAAAAGGTTGAATATATGAAGAGTAATGGTCTATATATGATTGGATGACGTATGAAAGGGTGAAAATGTGAAGAGTAATGGCGAACGGAAAAATAAATGTGTCCAGGGGCGGGAATCGAACCCACAATCTTCTGCTTACCGGGCAGGTGTCATGTCCACTAGGCTACCCTGGACGTATTTTTCCGTTCAGAACTAATACATAAAGTAACTTTTTAATACAATATAAAGGACTGCGGTGTATGATTATAAAGTAATACTCTAATCGTTATTACAATATATAAGTATTACTTTATAATCATACACCGCAGTCCTTTATATTGTATTAATAAAGTTACTTTAAGTATTAGTTACGAACGGAAAAATACGTCCAGGGTAGCCTAGTGGACATGGCACCTGCCCGGTAAGCAGAAGGTTGTGGGTTCGATTCCCGCCCCAGGTCACTTTTATTTTTCCGTTCGCCATTACTCTTCACATTTTACACCCTTTCATACGTCATCCAATCATATATAGACCATTACTCTTCATATATTCAACCTTTTCATACGTCATCCAAAAAGTTAGAAATAGTACATATTTCTCTTTGAAATTAATATTGATTTTCACAAAAAACAGAAACTTATGCGGGGAGGCTTTAAGTATTACTTTATAATCATACACCGCAGTCCTTTATATTGTATTAAAAAAGTTGCTTTAAGTATTAGTTACGAATGGAAAAATACGTCCAGGGTAGCCTAGTGGACATGGCACCTGCCCGGTAAGCAGAAGGTTGTGGTTTCGATTCCCGCCCCTGGACACTTTTATTTTTCCGTTCGCCATTACTCTTCACATTTTCACCCTTTCATACGTCATCCAATCATATATAGAACATTGCTCTTCATATATTCAACCTTTTCATACGTCATCCAAAAAGTTAGAAATAGTACATATTTCTCTTTGAAATTAATATTGATTTTCACAAAAAAAGAAACTTATGCGGGGAGGCTTTAAGTATTACTTTATAATCATTACACCGCAGTCCTTTATATTTTATTATATTGAATTGAATAAGAGATGTATTTGGCAATATTTGCCTTTTTTTTAATCTAATGATTTTAAATTTGGATTGTTCTATTTTCAAAATATAAATATATCTATATTATTATTTGAGAAATGATATAAGTATTTGTTCAAAATCTTAATTCATTAGTTAGGTATGAGTACATTTTGTGTAGAAATAAGATTAGTTGACTTTATAAGGTAAACTTATTCATCGGTTTGTATCCCTCGATAGCTCAGTTGGCAGAGCGGTGGACTGTAGATGTAATTAAGTGGTGATCCTTAGGTCGCTGGTTCAATTCCGGCTCGAGGGAGGTTTTTTTTGGCAGATGCGCGCGCATCCGTGACAGAGGCGGCCGGCCGGCCGATGAGGAAAGACGGTCGTGACTATATATATATAATAATAATAATATAATAATAATTATTATCATTAGATAATGATAATGATAATAATGATGATGCGCGCGCATCCGTGACAGAGGCGGCCGGCCGGCCGAAGCGGAAAGACGGTCGTGACTATATATAGTGATAATAATAATAATATTGTGAAATATGAATGCATCGCCATTTGGAAAGGATGCGCGGGGGGGGGGGGGGGGGGGGCGGGAGGAGCACGCGCGGATTAGGTTGTTCTTAGCTGCTTTTTGTAAACATACTGCGCTAGCTCCCGTTATTCTCTTCTTTGTAACCTTACTTTAAATAAACTATATTTAATATCAACATCGAATTCTATTTAATTTATTCTACTCTACAAAGTGGCGGAGATCAGCTGGGTACCTAAAGACGAAGAACGCTCTATTAGAAGAAGCAGAAGATTACAAGGACTTACCCCCGACAACACAGCGACGATGAACAACAGAAGCGAGGCGACCACTCAGGTGAGTCCACTCTTTTGTCAGAATGTGGTGCGGAACCCTTCCATGTTCTCTGGTGAGATCAGCGAAGACCCCCAAGCCTGGCTGAAATGTTATGAGAGAGTGGCAAGACATAACCATTGGGACGATTCGCCCAGTCTGGCTAACGTGTACTTTTATCTACACGGTACCGCTCAACGGTGGTACGAAAATAATGAGGAAAATATCCCATCGTTGGAGATATTTGAAGACCAACTATGATCCGTATTTGGGAAGAAAGATAACCTGCGGCGTCAAGCCGAGCAAAAGCTAAAGGTGCGAGCTCAAACTAGGGGCGAAACCACTGAATTTTATATCCAAGATGTTTTGCGACTCTGCAGGGAAGTAGATGCACAGATGCCAGAAGAAGAGAGACTATCTCATCTGATGAAGGGAGTAGCAGAGGAAGTCTACCGGTATCTTCTGCCGAGATACATAGCGACGACGGATCAGTTTATCGCAGAGTGTCGTCGCGTTGTGGCGCTCCAAGGACGATGAGTGACAGCCTCAAAATTCGAGCGCTTGCCCAATGTTACCTCGCTCGGTGACCTGGGGGACGTGACGGATCTACAGTCTCTGATAAGACAGATCGTTAGAGAAGAAGTGCTGCGGGCCCTAGCACCGCCACGGGAAGAACAAAGAATCTCCTCCCTTGAGGAAATAGTAAAGGAGGAAGTCGACAAAGTCCTCGCTCCCATGTCGGGGATAAATACCTTCCCAATGGAATCGGCGGCGAGGTCAGCACCACGGAACTATAGAAAGAACACCTGGTATGCACCTAAGGTCGAAGCAAGTGGCTCAAGAGTCGAAGTACGGGACACTAATGAGTGGAGGACCCCAGACGGCACGCCCGTATGCTTCCACTGTGGACGGCCCGGCCACGTTGTCCGCTATTGCCGCGACAGGAGGAGGTTACTTGATGAGAGAAGAGACGAAATGTACCAAGATCGGGCCAGGACAATGAAGAACTCCGGACGCAACAATAACTCAAACGACGCTGATCAAAGAGTCAACACCAGACGTTATCGCAGCCCCTCCCCTTCTCCTAGACGCGGAAGTTCCCCTGGTCGCAGTGCTACAAGACGTTCCAACCAGTCTCCTCGGCGTTTACAATCGGAAAACTAAGAGCCGCGCTCTCAAATGGAGGTGGGGCCGCTGCACAACCTATAATTCCTCTCCTGTCGACAGTCGTGAAAATGACGAACAAATACATTGACATTAAAATTGAAGGCGACACAATACGGGCTCTGGTGGATTCCAGAGCCTCCTATTCTGTTATATCCGAGCTGTTCAGAGTAGAACTGAAAAAGACGATGTTTGCCGAAACCGACGTTGTATTGAAAGTTGCTGACGATAAGGTGGTCAAATCCAAAGGACGCTGCACTTTGAAGTTGGAAGTAAATGGACATCCGGAAAACTTTGAATTCGTCGTTTTGGAAAATTGCAGTCACGATGTGATTCTAGGCTGGGATTTCTTCAAGGCGACCAACGCGGTTATCGACTGCGGTCTAGGCGAACTACAACTGGACGACCTACCAGACCTAGACGCCGAGGGTAGAGATGACGGAGTGTACGCTATCCAAGACTTCGTTATCCCCGGGAGATCGTCGCAGAGGATAAGCGTCGTCAATAGATCTCTCGTAGGAATTGTTAACATGGAGGTTACCTGTTCTAAAGAACTATTCATTCGAAAAGACGTGATATTTCCTTTTTCATTGATTGAATTTGAAGAAGGAATTTGAAAAATTTGGATAACTAACGGCGGACTTCAACCTCAAATTATTCAGAAAGGAATGAACTTGGGTAGAATATGCGATATTGAGACGGAACACGTGTGCCTCTTGAGTGTGAAGCCGGAAAGTTTTTCAAGGGAGAGAAGAGAAGATGACCACAGCGACTACCTGTTATCTCTAATCAACCCCGATCTGCCCTAGAAAAAAAAGAAGATTTAATGGGGCTGCTGTTGTCTTTTAAAAGAGTTTTCCTTCCCACGATGAAAAACGCAAACAAGGTACAGAACAGAGTGAAGCACAGAATTCACACCGGCGACCATCCCCCTATAAAGCAGCGCCCATATTGGGTATCTAAAAGAGAGCGAGAAATAATGCAGAAGGAAGTAGATACCATGCTTGAAAGAAAAGTAATTCAGCCATCTGAGAGTCCCTGGTCAGCCCCTGTGGTGCTGGTCAAGAAGAAAGACGGCACATGGAGATTCTGCGTGGACTTCCGGCGGCTAAATCACATCACCAAGAAAGACGTTTATCCATTGCCCCGCATTGATGACGTTCTGGATCATCTGTCATCCGCCAGGTATTACTCGACCATGGAACTGAAGACCGGGTACTGGCAGGTGGAGGTGGACGAGCGAGACCGCGAGAAGACTGCCTTTGTTACTCCGGATGGGTTGTACGAGTTCATGGTAATGCCGTTTGGATTGTGCAACACGCCTGCCACATTCGAAAGGATGATGGATAATGTGCTCATGGGCCTCAAGTGGAACATTTGTTTGTGCTATTTGGACGGCATCGTGGTCTACTCTGATACCTTTGAGGAACATTTAGAACGTCTGTCTAAGGTTCTGAGCTGTCTTCAACAAGCGGGGCTCACAATCAATCCGGATAAATGTCTGTTTGGATCAACAAGAATATAAATCCTGGGTCATGTGTTAGATAAGGATGGCATACAACCCGACTCCGAAAAGGTCGAAGCCATGAAGAAGTTCCCTGTACCCAAGTCCGTCTGTGATATTCAAAGCTATTTAGGATTGTGCTCCTACTACAGAAGGTTTATCAAGAATTTCTCCAAAATCGCTGCTCCTCGAAAATTCTTCTGAAAAAAGATCAAAAGTTTATTTGGACACAAGAGCAGAAAGATTCATTCGAGTCCCTGAAGA